TTGTTATCATCCTATGTATTCCGTAAAATTATAATAACTCTTGTAATACAATCGTGATTGCATTATTAACATATATAACAGACGACATTATACCTTGGACATAACTAAAATAATCTAGTCCATGAATTTCAACGCTGGTGAGCTCCTAATCCTTTTACAAAAAGCCGCAAATCTAAGTTTACTTGCTAGTTTAGATATACTTCGCGTCCAAAGCGATTCGAAGAAAAACGATAGTATCAAAAAGACTGAATGAACTCTTCCGCATTTAAAAGTTTAGTTTTAAAACACTACACATTAAATGAAACAAGTGTTTTAAATAATTTTTCACTTATTTTTTTTCCGACTTTTTGAGTACTTTGCAACTTCGATGTCCAAATGTCATAGTTAAGCATGGCCACCTTTAGTTTAAAATGCTCTTCGGTTTAAAAATGGATGTTGTCGTCAAAATTCATTGGGAATATAAAATAAATTAAACGCGATAAAATCCATAAAACAGTAGTTTCTATAGTAAGTATTAATATGTTTAACGTTTGGTATTATAAATTTTATACACATAGTTTCATCACTTCTAATGATTCTTATATATGTCGCAGTAAGATGGTTAAAGCCGTGATATAATCACTAGGGATATAGATGTATACCGTAATATAGTTATATGACAGCGGTTCCTAACTATCTTACTACACTAATCTAGTGAAATAATTATAATTGTAAACTGAATGTACAGGAGCACACTCGTGTAGAAAATGTTCACGGTGTTTGTCAACTGTTGTGCAATTAATATAACAAAGATTCAAGACCAAAGAGATGAATCTGTAGCATACTTATAAAGAGCTGCTGAAAAAATTAAAAAAAGAGTCTTCCAAATAATTTCGCGACATTGACATTGGATCTTCAGTTCCTGTTATATTGTTGTTAATGTTAATTTTATGACAGTAGGTTTAAGAGGCAGCTGGGACGGCCCTTAGGCCAGTCTAAAGCCGCGTACATTATAACTATATAAAATATAAAATTGAAAAAACTGAACTTCTTAATTTAAAAAATTTAAAAAGCATTAGTCTAACTTAGTTTTGACCTAACATTCTCAGTCAACATACGCCTATAATTATTTCCCTAAATTAATCTAGTAAGATATATGTTGTAATCGTATAATATATTACTAGATACATTACTATTATCGTGATTGTATCATAGTTATATTACGGTATATAGCTATATCCCTAGGGATATAACTATATCATGGCTTCGACCATCTTACTGCGATATACTTATAGATAGCAATCTTCACTTAGTTAAACTTTACGTTATAACACAGCCTTCGATCAACAATACCAACTAGATAACGGGTCACGTACAAAATCATAGCTAAATACTGTCCGCATGAATATAAACTATGAAAAGACATAAATTAAATAACATTTAGTGTGAAATCAACCTTAAGTTATAACAAATAAGTTCTTTTTCCCGTTATTGCCTTGCGAGCTACACTCTCATGTGCAAGAGCTCATGTCAAGAGACGTCTCATGTGCGCTCTTATTTACTGAGATGGATTTCTTGCGCCGACCCGACATCTAGTTGGTATTGTTGATCGAAGATCACAGCAGAATAATTCTGCTGCAATGTTATGCTTCTTCTTCTTTAAGTGCCTCTCCATTACTGAAGGTCGGCAGTCATCCTTCTAAATTCTTCTTTGTTCAGGGCTAGCCTGAACAGATCTTCAACTTTCTTTATCCCAGTCCATTTCCGGATGTTACATAGCCACGACATAATCCTTCTACCAACACCTCTTTTACCCGCTACTTTGCCCATCACAATAGTCTGCAGTAGTTGGTAACGTTCATGCCTTAGCACGTGTCCTAGGTACGCAACTTTTCTCTGTTTGATGGTTTTGACAAGTAGGGGTTTATTCATTTTCATCTGTTTGAGGACCTCAATGTTGGTAACTTTGTCTGTCCAACTTATTCGGAGCATACTGCGATACATCTACATTTCAAATGCTTCTAGTTTCTTACGGAGATCTTCTTTCATAGTCCAAGATTCGCATCCGTATAGTATGACAGGCCAAATATAGCATTGCATGAGTCTTGTACGTAGTTCGATTGATAGTCTCCTTGTAGTAAGGACTTTGCTCATCCTCATGAAAGAGGCTCTTGCAGTTTCAATTCGAACTCGTATTTCCATGTCACTCTCCCAAGATACTGGTACTTCTGAACTTGTTCGATACTATCTTGTCCTATACATTACACTGCACTGCTTTGGCGCTCTCAAAACTACCATGATTTTAGTCTTAGACACGTTTATATTAAGTCCTGATTTTGTGCTGCACTCGAATATGCGGTCTAGTATTTTTTGAAGACCTTGTTCTGAAGATGCAATAAAAACAGTGTCGTCAGCGTATCTCAAGTTGTTAATCAGTTGGCCATTGACAAGGACTCCTTCTTCAACATCTAGCGCTTCGTTTATAATATTCTCCGAGTACAGATTAAATAGCACAGGTGACAAAATGCACCCCTGACGTACTCCTCTTTGGACAGCGATTGAGTCGGTAAAACCTTCCTTCGCCCTTACGTTTGCGTTCTGTTGCCAATACAGATTTTGGATTATGCGTATGTCTTTCGTATCAAGGCCGATGGTCTTCAAAATGTGTATAAGAACGTCGTTCTTAACACGGTCAAAAGCCTTCTCATAATCTATGAAACATATGTATACATCTTGTTGCATATCATAACATTTCTGTACAAGAACATTTAACGCAAACTGGGCTTCTCTTGTACCCATTCCAGCTTGGAATCCAAATTGAGTGTCTCCTAGTTATGCTACTAGCTACTAATTCACGTTGATGTTTTGGTACGAGCTTGCCTGTTTGGGCTGACCCATTCGTAACAGCCTTGCTATATTATACACCACAAAAAAAATTTAATTAGGCTTACAGAAAGAAAAGATAAAAACAATTAAATTATCATTTAAATATTTTTAAAATTTATTTATATTTTTCAATTAATTTATGTAATAAAAGTTTATTTAAGTTTTATTTTTTATTTATTATAGTTTTTTTAATAATGTAAGAAATGCTAAATAGTGACAACTTTAAAGTACATAGACTTTTCCGGTCTTATTAAAAACGTGGTTTATGGATAGTCTTGGGCTTAAGCTACGGTACGAGAAGAGCCTTTCCCTCTAAATAAGTATTATTTTTACCGCAAGCTAAAGTGTTCCTGAAAATTTTAGTTTAAGTCTGAGACTAATTAGAAACAACTTTTTGAAATAAAGCAGTATATAATATTATCATTCTTCGTAAACAATTTTTTACACCACTTTTCAGCTCGGGTTTATTCGGCGTTGAACCACTATCGAGCTTTATCACCGATGCCATACGTCAGCTAAGGGGATAAAATAATCGCTTGACGTACTATTACACCAGTAACAGCATCCACTCAGCTTTACAAACACACAGAAACGCCGCCGGGGATAAGATAGAAAAAATGGCGCATCTCATCCCAATCTGCTGTTTTGTATTGCCACATTAGTCGTACATCTTGAAAATCTTAGTTTTGACCGCCTTACTACGTCGTACATTATATTGTGAGACAAATTAAGTAGTTAAATTAAAACGATGATTGTATCATAACATTTAATACCGCGTAATAGAGATGTTTTTGCAATGATGTTGGGTTTATTTCAGTTCTAACTGACTCCAATCATTATTTTACACTCAACACTCTAATACTAGTCTAAGGTTTTTGTAAAGCAATTAACATCCACAATATCAATAATATTGCTAGTATAATACTTCTGTAATGCGATTGGCAACTTCATTTACCGTAATGATGCTGCTTTAATGCGATTGGCAACTTCATTGACCATAATAATGCTTCTTTAATGCAATTGATACCTTTTTGACCACAATAATGTTAATATAATGTGCCTGTAATGCAATTAAACAACTATTGTGAACCTATTAGGGATCTAAAGCCGTATATTTTGTGCCCAAATAAGCATTATAGCAACCGTATAAACGTTTGTAATACTACTATAGAACTAACTCAAAATGCGAAAACGATACAAAAATGCAAATAGGTTACTATTTGCATTTTTGTATCGTTTTTAACACAACATTTTTAACGATGAAAATAAATGTCTAATTCTATTAAATAAAATGTCCTTTACTCCGCCATTATAGATGATATTAATGTTTCGTTTGATAAATACGAGTGTTATCTCTATATGTACGTATAGTCAGTGTGTGAAAGCGTTGTCCCCAATGTTTAAACATTCCTAATGGTCATTGCCATTAATAATATTATCAATTATTAGGACAAATGCATTAACTGAGATAAATATAGCTTTTTTAACCGATTACAAAAGGAAATTGTATGTAACGCAATATCTCTGAGGAGGAATTAATCAAATTTGTTTATAATTTTTTCGAGATCCTTCTAGAAGAGGTCCAATATAAATTTTATCCACATTCGATTAGCAAGTCTAAGTCATTAACTTAGAATTGCTAAGTAATAGAATTTATCGCAACATTTCGTCCCGTGGGTGGATGGCTATGGATAAGTGTGATTAATTAATAGTGTGTTTGAAGTTTTAATTGGTGATCGTTAATTAAAGTGTAAATTTTGGTAATTCAATCGACAGTTTTTATTGTCACGAACCTCAAGCTCGTAACAATAATATTGCATCACTTTCACATTAGGAAATAAATTGAGATAAATTCACTGTATGAAGAATTGTGGGTCAGAAGAATATAATATTCGTTTTAATTTTTTTGTATTTGTTTTAAAAGGTTTTTAAGGATAACATAATGGCAACATTGTTCGTCCATCTTTTTTTACGATCATTCGCGCTAGCTTGCTACATATTTATTTATCTATGATTCGCGCTCTATGCACCGTTTGATACGACGCGTTGGCTGTGTTCCGAAATAGAACCCAGTATACATTAAAAATATATTTAATATTCAATATCGTGTCATTATATATTTTGAATGCACTTACTGTTATGTGGAATGCCATTTCCTGCAACTGATAAGGACTTTACCCAAACTTCCTTATGAAATAGAGCATGCATCAACTGTAACACAGAAATACGAAAAAACATTTTAAATCTATTGAATTATCTTCTAATCGTATGAATCAAAGGCGTATTTTATTTCGAATACTTACGTCAAAAAAAGGCCACTTATCTGCTGCTCCTCCGGATCTGTTTTTTAAATCCAATTTTTCTTTGTACACACGCTTCAATAAATCCATTTTTGATAAGCACTTTTGGTGCGGTATATTAATACCTTTTTTTTCAAATAAAATTTCGTTGAATTTAGTGGATGCACGTTTGAGAGCAGCTGAAATTTCTTTTTTTTGCGTCAAGAGATGCACCCCTTCTTTGGCGTAACAATCAATCCATAAAATAGTATCATCCTTAGTCCAAATATGAGGAGTTGCTGCAAATAAAATTATATACAAACTGATAACCTAATAAATTATAATTTTGTAAATAACCATCAATTATAAAGACTTACGATCCTGAGATATTGGTATAATAATTTCCTGGTGACTGGAATCATCGACTGGTGCACATGATGCATCAATTGGACTCATCTCCCCATCTGCTATTATGGGTCCTGTAAAAATGTAATTTATTATAAAATATTCACATTATTATTTATTTTAAATAATTAATTTGTTTCAATAGTAGAATCTTTCTCACCTTTATTCATGTACTGATGAAGCAAATGTAGACCGTAATTTGGATCTGTTAAACATTAATTGAAATAAAAATTAATATCATTTAGTACAAATAATTTATTTTTAGGTTAGTCACTCAAACGCCAATATATCCTTCATTCGAAGAATTATGGGTGTGTTCCGAAACAGAACCCAGTTTACTGGCGAATGCATACACTAAATGTTATTTATGTCTTTTCATTTCCAAGTGATAGGAGTATTGTATAGCTTTGTTCTTTTTTGTGACTAATGATCGTAAGATTTGTGACTTTATTACTAGATGCGATGGTTGTAATTAGGTTGAATTTAAAACTATTTTAATTTTTTGTCTCATTTCTTTAGTAAACAAACGTAGCTGTTTAAGTTTATATTCACGCGGACAGTATTTAGCTATGATTTTGTACGTGACCCGTTATCCAGGTGGTATTGTTGATCGAAGAGTCCACCTGAAGATGGTAAGTGGCTATTGCAGCCCGTGGAAACTTGCAGCTAAGTTGTAAGTTGTCACCTCTACGAACTGAGATGAAATACCTTACAGCCTTTATTTATACCGGCACTAGGTAAGAGGGATTACTGATTACTGATTACCCAGACGATCTCGCAGGCAGAAATGAGTCTTGCCACTTAGTTCACACATAAACTTAAAAAATTGGTAATATTAAGTCGCTGAAGGACACGCTGTTCTTAAAATAATTATATGCGTGTTATGATATATATTCTTAATATACATAAATTACGTGTCACGTTATTTGTCCGCGATGGGCTCCTAAACTAACCTAACCGATTTTAATCAAATTTGCACTCCGTGTGCAGTTTGGTCCAACTTGAGAGATAGGATAGTTTTTTTGGTCATGAGTGACCTACAATTTTTTTGCGAATTTAAGGATTTTTAATAAGACATGACAAAGGGTCGTCGAAAAGGGCAGAACAACGTCTGCCTGGCAAGACAAAAAAAAAACATAAACACTCACGCCTGTCACCCAGAGGGGTAGGCAGAGACTACGGACTTCCATTTGGCACGATCCTGACATACCTCTTTCGCCTCCTTTACATACATATATCTACGCATACATTTTCGTCGGTTAGGAGTACTTCTAACGTGGCCCATTTTCAAAATATCGCCAATTTGGTCGATAAACTTTTTCCTAGGGCGTCCCTTCCCGACTCGGCCGTTCACATCTGCCATATAAATTTGCTTTGTCACTCTTTCCTCATTCATTCTTTCTACATGACCAAACCACCGAAGCATTCCTTGCTTAATCCTGGTCACAACATCATCTAGCATACCACATTTATCTCTTATCACGCAATTTCTCACCCTGTCATTCATATTCAGCCCTAGCATATTCCTTAAAGAGTGCATTTCTACAGCATTTATTCTACTTTCGTACTTCTTCTGCCACACCCAGCTTTCACTACCATACATTAAAGTAGGGACTAACACAGCATTATGAATTACCATACGTGCCTTTTTTGACACATTCTGGTTCTTCATAATAGAGTGTAGTGCCCCATTCACTCTATTCCCTGCATTTACTCGTCGTTCTATATCCCTATCATATCTACCATCCCTGCTAAATACACATCCCAAATACACAAACTCATCCACTTGCTCAATTAACTCTCCTTCTATTCTTATTTCACATACCGTTTTGCTTTCTTCTCTTTCAAAAACCATCACTTTCGTCTTACTTGCGTTCACTTTCATTCCCCTTTTTTAAAAATATATGATACATATATATTTTTTTATAAATATATGATACACATATAAATCAAATGTTTATAACTAAAATCAAACTGCGATAGGATGAATGTCATGTTTTTAGAATACTTTAAAGAGAATTAATTTATTGTAAAAATATTGTGAGCTCTCCTTAAAGATATATTATATATCCTTAAAGTAATTTTATATATTTTAATTATACAACTCATTTTTTTTGAGAATTCGTTTCGTTACTAAATAACGCTTCCCTAAATTAAGAGGATTTCCACATTTACCTACCCATCTCGTTTACTTTATATACTTCAGTATAATTCATTCGCCTTGTGAGTGCAAGAGACCACTAGACTAATAAAAAATGGTAGGTACAAAAGTAAGTTTGTTGTTCGTTTCTTATATAAAAAGTTAAAAAAATGTCTGTTTATAAAAGTTGTTTACTTACATTTTGTCTGGTAAGGTACTGTGTCGTTCATGTGAGAAATAAAGTAGTCAGAAGTAACTTAAAATGTAATGTAAATTGTTAGTTTTCACCACAAAATAACAAGAAGTGCTAGCGCAGTTTTCACTATAAATCATGTTAATAAACCCACATTTTTAATATTCTACAGGGTCTAACGTACGAATTTTAATTATTTTTGTATCGGTATCTTTGCATGTGTCCTATTTTTACTGTCGGTTTTTACCGCCGTGGGCGTTGGACATCAGTATAATGTTCTAAAAATAATATTAGTTATTCATCTAACTTACACTTTACGGCCTGGCCACGGGGATCGGCGGCGCGAACGACGAAGCGACAGGCGGGGCGAAAGTTCGCGCGGCGCGATTTGGGGGCCACGGGAAGTCACTTTTACCGACAGAGAGACAGGCAGATAGGCCGAGAGTGAAATGTCTTTATCAAAGTTATCTCGATATTGCTTAGAAAGTAATTGTTTTTTGATTCAAGACATAATATTTGGATGAGATTGCGGTGTACTTGATTTGAATAGGAATCGGGTTATAGATGGAGAATTCCACAACAAATAGAATGCATCTAGAAAAAATTTCGAGTAAATACCAGAATGAGTGTTGAAACCTGCGATTATATTCTTGTTAATACTCAACCAGAATCAGAGATAAAAGCCAATGCGGATAAAATTTTAAGTTGTTTTTGTCCGGCATTTTTCGCGGCGAAAACAACTAAAATATTTTGTTCCCTATACTATTCGCCGCGTCTGCCGCCGCGATTGTTGCCTGACTCCGTGGCTTGCTCCGGACATTTCTATACATTTGTTTTAATCGCTAGACGCCACGCCGTTCGCGCCGCGCGAATTTACGCTACGGCGAATGTCCCGTGGCCAGGCTGTTACACGTGCCTTGTAACGTTGTAATAAGGTCCGGTAAGGTGTACTGGAATGGTCCACCAACTGTTCGGCTGGGTCAGGCGAAATTAGTTTATTTCAAAAATAATAGTTAAATAATAATTCTACGTAGCTTAGGTGAGGAAGGTAACAAAAAATCGACTACGGAAATAATCCTAATACTTAATCTAAAATGCATATTTAAAGTCACATTATAAGTCGTTCTAATGTTCCAAGTCACAAAGTGGAACGACGGTCACGATTATTTAAAAATAACACTTTCCCCCAAGTATAGTCACCTCTTACGATATTCACGGGATGATATGAATATACATACACCGTACCGTAACAACACGGTAATGGATAATTTCTCAAAACAGTTTATCTATCGACAACGTGTTGCAATCGTCGTTTCTGTAGCGCTCACTTGACCTTCATACAAATAATTCGATATTTTAATTGTTGATAATTTTTATTTTTGGATAAGAACGTGGTAACTAATAACTCTTAAGTTATATTTAAGCTATACTCTTTGGCATGACCATAGGTTTGAATAATTAGGGCTATCGCGTATGTTCGCCGCTACAGGCGCTAGTGTAGCGTATCATTTATTTCTAGTGACCGAATCATTCTAGTAGATTTCGTCACGCGTACCGATACATTCGGATCGATCATTTCGGTGGGGTATTTCGTGAATATGAGATCCATTTGGAACCGAAAACTTTCTATTTGAGTTTGTAATAGCGCCGTCTACTACATGCTGTAGGTAATAAAGCTATTTTATCGAACAAATATTTTCAATACCCTCGTTGTTCCGAACGTAATTGTACAAGCCACAAACCGCTTTTACAATTTTAACCACCTTGGCTACTCTATGAAATCGTATGGCATTACTTAATACAGGGAATTTTTCAGTCATCATTTCGAAAGAACATTCAACAGTAGTTGAAAATTCTTCTCACATTATTTAATGTTCGCTGTGGATACGGTCTCATCAAATATCTTGTTATTGGAAACACTACATCACCAACAAAGAAATGCGGGAAAAAGTGTACGTTTTCATCATTTGGTAGTTTTGATGGTGGAGGCAAATAAAGGGCGTAATTTTCAATTAAAAGTCTAATGGAAGATACCCGAAAAATTCCACCATCACTGTTTCTTCTAGCGTACCCATCCATCCATCAGCATTACTGCATGCCATTAGAACAATAGAATGACAGGATTCATAATTAAAGTTGCTTGATCCAGTATTGGGAAGTTTCTCTATACGAATGTGTTTACCATACAAACTTCCCAAACAATTGGGTAAATTCCAAAGAAGATTGAATGGTTGTGCATTTTTTTTAATTCTTTAAAAATACTTTGGTTTCAGGCCCAGAATTCAAAGAGAAATGGAGAAACATACGAAGTATATTTGTTCGGAATTTAAAACCACCAAACTCTTCAACAAAAAAAGAAACCTTATTATCTAGAAACTGTTATGCAATTTGCACTGCCTTACATAAAATTATATGACATTTCTATTTCTGTAAATCTGCCTACATGACAAGTATTGCATGAGAACATCCACGAAATAGAAGAGCCAAATGTTTCAGATATTGAAACAACACTAGATGAAACGTTACCTTGCATCGAATCACAACTAATCCTTTCCATGCCATCGACCTCTACAGAACACACGTTGTTATATACTACACCATCACCGGAACCACGAGCTCCATCATATTCATCTACATGCACAATTCCACCAAGACCTCGACCAAAGAAGAAGGAAAGGCAATACGATATTGATAAAAATATTATTGAATATTTAGAAAGTAAAAAAACAACCTAGAATTGGGAAATAATACAAGGGAAATGTTTTTGCTCAGCCTGCTGCCGGAGATCGAAACTATGATAGAAATTCAGATGAGACGTTTCAAACGTCAAGTTACGGACGTAATCGAAGAAATTTTGGCCGATGCTACTACA